CTCCGGTAGCGAAGACATATTTTTGCAGTAATATGGGTCCCGCATGGGATGTTGCAACGATTACGTCTTCGAATGGGAAGCCGTCATTCACACCCGATTTTTTGGGAATTTTGGCCAAAGATAGTTTTTCGGAGCCGAGGCCCGATAATTGGTGGACCATTTTCCGATTGGTTTGCGCGAAGTCTCCAGACAACGGAATGCTTGGCCGTTGTTATGGATTTGAGCGCGACAAACGAAGTGGTGTATTTAGTGTTCATTCAATTTTGCGGGATTTGCGCATGGTGACAAGTACATGTGTCTTCACAGCAGTTATGTCCTTGACCGAGATTCTGTTTACGTTCGGTGTTGTTGGGCGTTCTTCAAGCTTCTTGTTCGATCGAGGACGAAACGGGTCACGCTTCTCCTACGGGAACGGGTCGAATTCGAGGCCGAATCCTGCTCCACCGGGAGAGAATGATGGAGATTATATATGATTAAAATTAAAATTATTATTATTATTATTATTATTATTATTATTATTATTATTATTATTAGTATATTTATTAAATAATGGTTAGCTTAGGGAATAAGCTAAGTTTAGGGTTATAACTTTATTTAAAGGGCAGTTGTGATTTGTTATGGGTGGTGAATATTTTGAATGAAAAAAACTATCGTGTTTCTTTGAGAGAGTATCTCATTCTTTGAGTATCGAGAGAGTATCTCGTTTTATCTTCCCATTCGTACGTATTTCCCTACATCACCAAGGTAGCCACAATGAGAGCATTTGATTCTTTTCTTATCAGTAGCATTAGGATTGGGATTGAGGTTTTTGGAAGGTTTAAAAGGCGGTTTAGAGTTTGGAACAGACTTTGCTAACATATCCAAGGAATCAGGGGTTTTAGTATTGGACAAACCACGTTGGCTTTCTTCCTGGAGTAAAAGGGAATATACAGTTGATAATGTGGGTAAGGGTTTAGATAGCAAGATATGGCTACGAATGGGAGAGAATGTAAACCAACGAGAAACTTCATCACTGAATCATTCTGCTGAGCAACTACCATAGAATCGAACAAATTACAAGTACATGTAGCAAGAACACCACAGTGACATTTCAAAACAGGGCGGTATGTCACG